AGTCCTTAACTCTAGATGATGACTTTGGTATTACAAGGAATATACATAAAAACCAAAAAGTAATGCATAATCCAAGACCCATTCAAGACACATCAGCAGATTATGTATTTTCGTCCTTGAAAATACATCATCTAATCTTGGAAAGGATTAATTAAACCAAAACAAAGACAAATCAAATTAAGAAAAAGTCACCTACGAATACATCATCACTTTAAAGCCACTTCATCATGCCACAGGCGCTGGTTTTCATCCACGAATTTAAAAAAAATACACACACAAGATCGATTAAACTTTCAAATTATCACGAACAATAAACGAAGGATTGATATTATGAAGATAGAAAGATATATAGAGAAAAACAACAAAAACGTCTTGGGATATATTTTTTCTCTTTTCCGCCACCAAGATTTGGTGACAAAGCTCTTTGACCTATCGATAAAACATATGGATCACGAGCTCTGCAAAAGTTTCAAGCTTTTTGTCAAGTCCCATCGATAAAAGAACGCCGAATTTAAACCCTAACAACAAATAAAGAAACTTACAGAAAAAGTGTCAATGGCTTGGAAATGGTATCTTTCCGAGCAAGCTTTACATCCGACATTAACCTCTAATGAGCGCTGTAAAAGAAGAAAAGATGGTGAAAGAAAAACATATGATATACAAAAAAACATCTAATGATCATCGTCATGGTTTTGGAAGTGGAGAAATATGAGATTAGGGTTTTGCGTGAATAAAAATAGATGCGGCCGATTATGAATACTTGAGGCCAAAGCCTAAGTAGAGTATATTATATATTTATAGATGTTATATGGTTAATGGCTGACCTATATATTGTTATGGGCCATGAAAAAGCTATGGGTCTGTACTAATTATTTTGGCCTAATAACAACTGATGGCATACGATTGTAATTATATGATTCATTAAAGGTATTTTCGGTAGAGCAAGTTTTAAACTCACCGTAGAGCCGCCACGTAGGATTTGCAACTTCATATTTATAAGTATAGATTTCTAGTTTGAATATACCCAAAAAAAGAAAAAAGAGTATACCAAATCTTTGATCAAACTTGTCAACATCAAATTAAAATATCCATACCGAAGAACATCTATAAACCGATGAATCGATCCAAAACAAAAGCAAAGTGAAACCAAAATGTAATATAAATTGGCATTTTCGAATGCATAAACCTTATGTTCTTCTAGTATATATATAACACTAATTTGAAAAAAAAAAAAGGAATATCAGTCCGTTAATGGTATTCTTAGGACTGCTAATTCGGTTTTCAGAAAGTACAGAACCGATGATTTGTTCCTTGATTGGAAGTATAGTATGGCTAATTTCGCTCGTCCGTTGCATGATGTGTTCCTAAAAACGGATTCATTGATTGATTCTCCTGAGACCTCTTCTTGGTCAGTCGAGAAACTGAAGCTTCTTTTTGAGTCACAGAAGTTGTGCTGCGAAACAGTTTACTCGTTCAGTTTTCATGAATTGCCACAGTTCTTCAAAGATCATATGGCAAAGTGGATGAAAGAGTTTATCAAGTACTTATCCTCAGCTTATCCCGCTTTGGAAAACACAGCTGATAGATTAAAAGCTGTTGATGATCTTCATGCTTCTGTTTGCGAGACTATTAACCTGTATATGCAGAAATACCAACAAGAGTTTCAAGACTTTTGGAATGATTTTGCATCCGCTGTTTGGACATTACTCCGAGATGTGTCCATGTCTTCTACGAGGGATGAATTAGCTACACAGGGATCAAGTTTTTGACAACTATCAGCACAAGTGTTCACCATGGCTTGTTTGCAGACGAAAATGTAATCAAGGATATTTTCCACAATATTTTGGTTCCCAATGTCCATTTGAGGTTTGTAGATGAAGAACTTTTCGAGAAGGACTACATGGATTTTATCCGTAGAGACATAGGAGGTGATGTGGATACTATAAGGACAGCAGCTTGTGACCTGCTCAAAGGAGTTGCCACAAACTACAGACAACAAGTGATAGAAGCAGTTTCTATTGAAATATGGAAGCTCTTGGATTCATTTTCAGCTGATCCGACTGCATGGTGGAAAGATAAGGCAATAGCAATTGATTTGTTCATCTCTCTGGCTACTCCAACGGCAGGGGGCTTGTCTATGTCTATAGATCTCAGTGTTGTTAGAAGCTTCTTTGCAAATTATATTCTGCCAGAGTTGGAAAGCATCGAAATCGACAGCTTTCCATTGCTAAAGGCATGGTCCTTGAAGTTTGTATCAATGTTTCGTAGTCATCTACCTCTTAATAAGGTGACCGTGGATTTGCTTATGTTGCTGAGTACAGATTCTAACTTGGTCAACTCCTATGCCGCCATTTGCATAGAGCAACAAATCCTCGAAAATGAAGAAGCTGTACCGAAAACAAGATTTTTTTTGCAAACTATTATACATTATTTCATGTACTCAACATCCATCTTCAATTTGTGGAGAATCAGTATATTCTGAAGTGTTTGATGGTGGCCATTGGTTTTGCCAAAACCAGTGATGATAAGTTTGTTGAAAAATGCTTGAAGGACTTGGACTTGCTTCGGAGTAAAGTTAGCGAAAAATCTGTCCACTATATCCTTGACTCTATGGCTATGGTAAGTGTCAATACCAAGAAACCATTGTTCTTTCTCTTTCGTTTTCGCCTCAGATGATATTAATACAGAGTTTTGTGTCACAGCTGAAGCTGGAGAGATAGAGAAGTTGCAACTCGGAAGTGGCAAAGAAGGCAAATGAAGGATGTCAATGAAACGCAGCTTAAGTCGCTACTATATTGAGAAGTATATAGACCTTATATCCTGTGTAAATTTGATGCTTCGTGATAAGAAGATTAAACATTTTTAGGTTGCAGATAACACAGTGTTTCGTGATAAGAAGATTAAAGATTTTTAGGTTGCAGAGAACACAGTGTTGGTAAGAACACAGTGTGTTAGTGTTTTCTTAGCTCAATCAAAACAATATACTCATACTGAATCTTATATATACCACGGTGGTTAGAGGAATGAACAAATTCATTTGTTAATGTGGATTTCATGCACTGATATTGGATAGCTCTCTGATGATATTGACA